CCCCTCTCCGACACAACTACACACCAAAGATGTTTAAAGAAAAACACGGACAACAAGGAACAGAGGACTTCCACCGTTTGGAACGTTTACATCAAAAACGCGGACGTCTTAGGAACCACCTTCGCTTCAATTTAAGATGCCGGGATGAAAACATCACACCCACAAGCCTACAGCTAAAAACACCGATCCGGACCAAGACAGCACAAAACATAATGGAAAGAGCACAGAGAGCACTACTCAAAGAAAGGATGAGAAACATTGCAACCAAACAGAAACATTGCAACCAAACAGAAGCAAGTGGAAGACTAACTGAAAAGAAAACATCTGGACTTAAAAAGGAATTGCAAACTTGATAAACAAACGGAGAAACAAATTAAAGGACACATGATGGAAAAACAGGAAAAAATTCATAAAAGTAAAAGACACAAAGAAGTTCAACAAACTCATCAAAAAGAAAAAGAGGGAGGAAATACAAGATAACACCACACAAAGCACATGGGTAGGTAATTTCACAATACAAACTAACAGAAGCAGAAGAAAGCATATTAAAAAAGGTTTAAACTTTGCAGTCACACCAAAGAAAATACCATATGATGAATTTATTGTAGCAACAGAACTAGCATGTCAACAGGTCACAGATGAGGGAAAGAAAGCAGAACTTAGAAATAATGTAGTTGGGATATTAAAGAACAGCCAAATTCAACACAGCAATATTACAAAAGAACAATCAGCCATGACAGCTTTATCCAAAAATGAACAGATAATTATTCTACCGGCAGATAAAGGAAGAACCACAGTAGTTATGGACAAAGAAAAATATAAACAACAGATGAACCAGATGCTAGAGGACAAAAATACATATGAAATACTTAGAAAAGACCCAACAGAAAACATTTAAAAAAACATGAAAAAATTACTGAAGTCATTCGAAGACAAAGGCAAAATTACAGAAAAAATGTACAAACACTGGATTCCTACAGCAAACATAACACCAAGAATCTATGGAACGCCAAAAATACATTAAAAAAAACACCCCACTTAGACCAATAGTAGACAGCATAGGTACACCAACATACAAAATGGCAAAAGATATCAGCAGAATCATCAGCCCGTTATTAGGGAACACAGATCAACACTGCAAAAATAGTATAGAACTGGCAAAAGAACTAAAAAACATTACAATAGAAGATAACGACATACTCATCTCACATGACGTCACATCCCAGTTCACAAAAACACCAACCCAAAAAACCATAGACATAGTAGTTAACAGAATCAGACAGGACAAAACTTTACACAAAAGAACAAACCTCACAGCAGAGGACATAGCACAACTGATATCACTGGTAGCTAACTCCACTTACTTCACCTACGATAACACAATATACAAACAACTGGAAGGCTTCGCCATGGGTAACCCGTTATCAGCCACCCTTATGGAAGACCTAGAACAAAAAGCCATAGCCACTGCCCCCCAAACGGCAAAATAAAATTATGGAAACGCTACGTAGACGACATACTGGAAATCATACCAAAAGGACAAACAGAAACACTAACACAACACTTAAATAACATTGACGACACAGGCAACATAAAGTTCACATATGAGTCAGAAACAGAAGGCAGCATAGCATTTATGGATATGAAAATCACCAGGCAGACCGACGGGACCCTAAACATAAACACATACAGGAAACCAACACACACAGACCAATATTTATTATGGACATCAGAACACCCCACCATACACAAAATGTCAGTAATCAGAACATTATATCACCGAACAAACATAATAACAGAAGAAAGAGACCGTAAACAAGAGGACAAACACATACAACACGCTTTAAAGACATGCGGATACCCGACATGGGCAATAAACAAAGGAAAACAACAAACAACAACAGAAAGAAAAAAAACAACCAAAGCAAAGAACCAGAAACCCAGAAAGACAGGAACCAAAACCAGTGATAACCCTACCATACATCAAAGGCATAACAGAAAAATTAAGAGCAACAATGAAAAAAACACACAACATAAACACACCAACTAAACCATACACAACAGTTAGAAACAGACTAGTACACCCAAAACACAAAATATCAGCTGGACTTAAATGTGGAGTCATTTACGAAATCCCATGCAAACTCTGCAATAAAACATACATAGGAGAAACCGGACACCAACTCAACACACGAACAATAGAACATAGAAAGGAGTGTGAGAGAGAAACAAGTTGAAGACACACAAGAGCAGCAAAAGAAGAAGAAAAAGAAAGTACAATAAAGAAGCCAGCCGTAAACGATCACTGCATAAGAGAAAACCATATAATGGACTGGGACAACACACGGATCATAAACACCGAACAACAGAAATATAAAAGATGGATTAAAGAAGCTCTAGAGATAAGGAGACGTGGATGTGGGACCATGAACAGGGACGACGAAGTTTAATTGTTGGATCGTGCATGGGACTGCATCATCGGAGAGGGGAGAGCGGGCAGCAGAGGGCGACAACATCCTCTGCAGCCCGCGGATAAACGGAGAAGGAAGTGACGCCACTATCAGCGTCAGCCTGATGAAGTTTGCAGCCACAAACGAAACGTTGCAGGTAAATAAAACCTTTCTGTGTTTTAAAAAGAACTAAAAGATGGAATTGACTCAGCCTTCACATAGTAAATAGGCTGTAATTGATATAGAGCCTTCTAAAGTCCTGGAACCCCCCAAGGCACTTTACTGTAGCCACAGCTGCCCTGGGGCACACTGACAGAGGCCAGCCTGGCCACACAGGCACCACCGTCCCTCCAAACACCACCAGCAGGCGAGGTGGTTAAGCGTCTTGCTTAAGGACACAACAATGGTGACAAACTGAGCAGGGCTTGAACCTGCAACCTTCTGATTACAGGGCGAGCACTCAACTCCTGTGCCACCGTCACCCCGTTTTTACCTTTTGGAGGGTTATGTGCATTGAAAATAATATTTATATGAGGGTACTGACAGTGGAACTTTTAATCGTGTAACATGTTACTCAGACATATATTTTAGATTTTTTTAGTAAAGTTTTGTTTTAAGTAAAGCCCATGTTTTAATGAGATGGGAACAAAAATTAGCTCTACCAAGCAAGAAGGGATTAAAGCAATTTTCGCCCCAAATCTCAGTTATTTACAACAAACTATTCAAGGAGTATTTGAATCCTGTAGGACGTTTGATGTAGCCAACCAATATCATCTGACTCTTCATTCCCAATATAATCCATTACTGATATGATCTGATAAAAACAGAAAAACTAAAACATCTTAGGTAACTAACATGTTTACATTTTAAACATTTTCTGTGAAAAATCTAAGCGTGAAGCTAATATGTGTTTTAGTTATTTTTCTGTTTATTGCACCTGTGGTGATGAAACTGTTACAAAGATCTCCAGATAAGAAAACCAAGCCTTTGGTCAAGAGTCTTGTTTTTTTTTTTTAGTTATTTGTCACTTCACAAGTTCAGCTAAATAAACTAAAATAGTTCCTAACTCAGGTGTGTCATATTTTTATATTTTGAGAAGGAGGAGAAGTAGTGTGTGTGTGTGTGTGTGTGACATGACCAAAAACCAATACCAATATTTTCTGATACGTTTTAATGCTGATATTAGTCAATATTAATGTTAGATAACATCAGACATCACTAGAGTCCTCTTGTATTTCTCCCAGAAATTCAGTTTTCACTCTCTGAGTTTTAGAGGTTTAGTGGCAGATCTAGGCTGGGGTTCAATCCTGAACCTCCTCATTGAAGTCCGTGTCCTTAATGTTTAGACACAACAACATATCCAGCACGGTAGCAGTATTCACTGTCATCTCCTCCAAGAAAACAAAGAAAATGTTCTAATTTAAATGAGACAAAAATATCTAACTATAGAAATGAATAAATACAGGAGACGGATCATCAGTGGTAGCGCTGCACCTGCTTCTATGATCAAACATGCTTATTCTGAAATGAAAATCATTTTGAGCAGGAAAAAAACTCCCAAACACAAAATTGTTTTAATGTAGCCATAAATTTGTAACTGCAAGAAACAGGCAGCTTTACAGCAGGAAAGCACAATGATCACAGACATCACTTCCTGTCGCAGAAGAATCACATCAGATCAAATCAGCCACTTTTTACAGAGAATAACAATAACAGGTTGAGAAAATCTGATGTGCTCAGACAAACTCCCAATGTCATGTTTGTGTCAAATTCTAGTTTTTCTTCTTTACTATTTTTGTTTCTTACAGCACAAATAAATAAACAAACAAACAAACAAACAAATAAATAAATAAAACAGCTTTTCAGACTGAATACTGCATCCTGATTTAGGCTTATTTGCTTATTTTCAAAACTGTGTGTGTGTGTGTGTGTGCGTGCGTGCGCGCGCGTGTTAAAACAGACATCAATAATTGCTTCCTTCCTTTTTGCATCTTCATTTTAGTCAAAAGTCTAAATAGTCTCAATAGGAAGTTGAACCTCTTGCTATTAAACAAAAGACACCCCGTTGGAAGCTCCTCCACAGACTGTTACTAAGGATAACAAGCAGCTGTTGGGTCTGGAACTGTAAGCGGCTCCAGTGGACACATGAAGGCGCCATTTCCAAACGCATGAGTGGCTGTTTTCTAATCTAAAGACTCCAGAAACAAAATTAAAATTGCGTTAATGACTGGAAGAGTCGGTTTAAATAAGCAGCACCATCCTGGTCCGCACTGACCGCTGGAGGTATTGGCACGTGCAAGTAGAGTTGGTAGGCGTGCGCGAGCTGTTTTTAAGCAGCCCTTAATTTTAGACATGGCATGTTTTTATTAATTAGTACAAAAGTAACGAGAGTAAAGAAAAACATCTATAAAATTATGTTAGGCCCATAAAAATATCGCCTTTCTATCCACGATGCTCTCTGTCGAGGAGCCTCGCACTGTCACTTTCCATTACGCACATGAAGAGAGCGTTTGCGGGAGCGCTCCTGTCGGAATGGAGCCGCGTCGGGCGGGAGCATCGGTGATTGATGATGAGGAGCGCCGCAGTGAAACATGGGCCATCATCACCTTCAGCACCTTTCAAATTAAACACTTTAACGTCACGCTGTGCGTAAAGCGCTCCCCAATGCTCGTCGCGCCGCGGCTCGTGTCACCCCGCCTCCCCGCGGACGGATCAATGTGGATCTGTGCTCCAAGAAGTTCAGCAAGCCCACCTGAGAAGTCCATCTGAAACACTCTGCTCTTGGTTTTTTGTCTTTTTTAACTGAACACTGTGGGTGTCGGGGTGGTGGTGGTGGGGGACATGTTGGACGCTGCACCCTGAGGAAGAGGTGGAGGAGGAGGGTGAGATGGATTTTGAGGTGAAAGATGTAGAGGGGTCCAACTGCTCGCTGAATGAAAGCGGCTGCGGGCAGAGCGCGTCCTCCGGCGGAGTGTCCACTGCGCTGGCCAGCGTGCTGATCTTCACCATCGTGGTGGACATCCTGGGCAACGTGCTCGTCATCCTGTCTGTGTACAGGAACAAGAAGCTTAGGAACGCAGGTGAGAACCCAACACTTTCCTCCTGAGTCCAGAAATACTAATAAACGTTTCATCTGAGCTGATGACTTCATAAGAAATATCTCCTCTTGTGGACATCTGGATGGTATTTGTCTCACTGAGGGATCTAATCTGCTTCATTCACAACATTATGTAATGTGAGGTGAAGCCGCTGACCCCCTTTCCCCCACAATCAGGCTCTGGTCTGAGTGTGATGGACTTTCTTCATCTCTCTCAGTAATAAGGTTTCCTTCCCCTCGGCCTGCTCCTGCTTGCTCCACTAGGATAAATCACAGCGCGCTTTATTTCACGACCTGAAGTTTCTCATGAGCAGCCAAGGTGAGAGGCGCTGCCCTGACCTTTCATACATGTTTTATATCACTCTCCACTCGTAACTCCTCCATCCATTTGCACTGGTCTGACTGGAGAGGTCTTCTAGTTTTTTATTTATTTATTTTGCTAGCCCATTGTCCAAATTTAGTTTCTGACTCTTCTTGCAATTCGGATACAAAAATAACAACAGCTAGCTTTCTTGCGTGTCACGCTTTCTACAGCAAAGACCATGAGCTCTGTTCCTTTCTTGGTTTTTTCGGTCACTGCCAGTTCAAATCTGTTTGGTGAAAAATATACAACTTTTCTTCTAATAGAAGCAAAAATATTTCTCTACATTAAAAATAGTATATTAAATATTTTTAAAATACACTGTTGTTGAGCTTTATGAACAAATGATGGGAGTGTGTGATACCGATTAGAGTTTTTATTTTATTTGGCAGCATTTTGCTGATATAAAATCCAAATTCCTCAACTGAAGGAAACATAAGTGATTATTTGACTCAATTATTTTTAGCGGACTTTTGGATGTTTACTTTTTATTAATTTAGGACAATTTAGATAAAATAAGTAAAATATTCATAATGTCACATTGATTACAGTATTAAGTAATATTGTGAAATATTTATTAAAACAGCCCATATTATTTTAATGTGTTTTAGTAGCTTTATGGTCAGTTTGGTAGGAAAATGGAGTAAAAGGCTGACCTGCCCATTAGAGGGTTAAGAGCTTTATTTGCATAACTCCGCAGTGCACCTTTGTTTTTGTTATTATTATTATTATTATTATTATTATTATTATTATGTTAGCTCTTTTGTGTCCTCTCATGCTTGTATGTGCAGTTGTCCCATTAGAAATGACACTCTCTGGTGAATAAAGCATTCGGATTTTGTGTGACGATAAGGGCATTTCTTGTTGAAATAAAAAAGTACGTTTCTGTTAAACCTAGAATATTCTAGACTTTCTCTTTTAGATTTCACCCCCCACCCCAAAAGTGCTGTTTTTTATCCTAAAAAGATAAAGAAAGACTGATCTGGGATCAGATTTGAAAGGGAGAGGCGCATCATCTGCTCTTATTGTGTTAAAGGCAAAAGCTAACATCTGGTGTGCTTGGAAAGTGTTTACTGCCAGGTGCTGAGGGGGGGGGGGGGGAAGCATCAGTGCACCTTGACTTTGGTTTATAAAGTCGTTGGAAATCTGCTGAGGTGATGGGACATTGTTCCTTGGGAAATTAGGTGAGGTGATGATTCAGAAAAGGTTTTTGGAAGCATATGTTCACATATTCAGAAGAAGAGCTGCAGCTGCAAAGCACCCATTTGTTTACATCTTTTTTTTAACCCATGAGTGGAAAAGAAATCGACTCGTTGCTCACTCGAATGACAGAAATTTTAGGAATTAGAGTTTAGTTTTCTCTCTGAAAGCACATCGCAGCCACAATAAAGCCGCCTCACCATGACGGTTTCCAGTTTTTAATTTGTGGCTGACTCCAGTTTTATAGTATCCTGGAGCAAATGCCACATGAAATCATCTGTGAGCTGTACAGTTGACAACTATGTGTGCAATCGTTTGTCACACTCTCCTCAATGAGAAAAGATTTCATGATGTATCTGCAGCGGGTGCATGAGTAGCATTTATTTTAAAAATTAGACCAAGACTCCAAACAGTCTGAGCCATGAATACACAATTTCTCTTTACTTTTTTCTGTTTGTGCAGAATTCTGTTGCGCTTTGCCGAAAAAGACGTAAAACACATAATGCACATTCTGTTCTCTAATCACAAGAGATTTAGAAGCTTATTTATCACTGCCACAACTCATGATTTAGTTTTTTTTTCTTTAAGAAAAACAGAGCAGAGCACTGAAATGTGCTTGCAGAAATGACTCACTGGCCAGAGAGCAAGGAAGAGAGCTACAAGAAGTCTGCTCAGTGCCATGTTGCTTTCAACTCCGAGGTCCTGCAGCAACAAGCATCGTGCACCCAGAAAAACCAGGAAAGCCCCTCCGGATCAGGTCACTGAGTGTTTGGAATGACGAGCTTCTAATTGCGTTTCAAATACATTATATAACGCATCTGATTGATTCAGACAGTAAGCAGTTCTGGCATGAAATGTAGAATAATCTGATTTTATGGTTTTTTTGCAGAAACGACATAGTCGACCGGTTTCAAACAATAGTGCTGGAGTGGGTGGCCTCACGCAGGTCGACTGGATGCTGCAGTGATTGTGGAGCTTGGTGTTCTGCTGCTCTAATTGGACTGACTGACAGCTCCTTTCACATAGCATCCTCCCCAGTATCGAGGTGCTGTACTGGTTAGCATGAATGATGAGTAATATGAGACTTCCAAAGAGCCTTCAAGGCTCAGAAGGTCTTTTTCGTGTATTTTTTTCCTCCAAGAGTGTCCTTAAGTGACTGGAATCGTTGCAGCCAATCAACATTCTACCCTTCGTGTCTTTTAAAAGCTATTTATAGGGTTTGGCTCACTTTGTATGAAAGTTTAACTGTCCTAAGTTTTACGGGTGAAAAAGTGTGGACACAGTGGAGGAGCTCTGAATGGCTCAGCGCCATGAAAACCCTTCTCTGTGATAGATGTGTGCTCTGTGAGGTGCATTTAAACACACACACACACACACACACACACACACACACACACACACACACACACACACACACACACACACACACACACACACACACACACGCTCAAAGAGAAAAACCCTCCTCATATCATCATAGTGAATTTATTTTTATTGTTTGACACCAAAAGAGAAAAAGGGTGGCTGATAATGTTTTTACTCGTGTTTGAGTGTGTTGTAGTGAAACCCTAACCTCAACCCTGAACTGCCACGAGGCATTTAATAAAAATCCTCTTTAAATGTTCGTCAACAACTGACCGACTTTTGGAGCAAACCCATTTCAAGATGGCCACCACGGATATAGAATATTACTAACACTAAAATTTTGCTTTGTCTGGCAGCTTTACAACCATTGAACTGAATTTTGGCCTGACGGTGGATTAAATCTAATCACTGGTGATTACATTATTGCTGTATTATGAGCAGTCTTGTAATAGTATGTTTAATAGAACTGGTGATTTATCTCAGTTGGATGAGCAGAGAAAAAAAAGTCGAATTTCAGCCAAATAATGCTCACACACCTGCTTTAGGCTGTAAAAGAAGTTAATTTACATCTAATTAAGGACCCGTAAGAAGTAAAATTCCATAGTAAATATGAAATCAATTTTACGGACCGTTGGGTTATTGTAACCAGAAGATTGGAAGGGATTACGTAATACTTGTATTGTCAGAGACAAGAGAAGAGAGAGTCACCTTTAAAACGTTGAAGAAGATTTATTTCTAAACAATTTAAACAATTTTAAACTAGACTAACTCTAACTCTAAGTGATGGATGGATCTGGTGTAAATGAGGCGTGAGATGAATGGTGTATGTGTGAGTGATGTTATGATCAGAACTCTCATATCCGGAGAAGCAAGTCTGAATGATGTTGTGATGTTTTGCTTCTAGCTATGATCGGAGTTTGATCGGAGTTCCATAAACACATGAGACGCCATATTGCCGCTCCACACATACCCTTGATGAGACCTCCGTACAGATCCAGAATGCCAGGTCCTCTGACCCCCCTTTCAGTACCGGTGCCGGTGAAACAGCGTCAGCAGTACGACAGACTAGTCTTTGGATTGTCTCCAGGTAAAAAGCGACAGGTGGTTCACAGCGTCAGATGGACCCCCGTTGGGTCAGTGAGTTCAGCTTTTATTCTGAAAGGAACCGTTGCTTGGTTGGTAAAATTTAACAGATTTTATCCAGCTTGTTGGTTCTTTGCTTAAAAAAGGAATGGCCGGTCCGATACTTCGCTTAGCATGCGGGGAACTGTAGAGAACTCCATCCATCCATCTTCTGAGCCCGCTTTGTCCACTTGGGGTCGCGGGGGGGGGGGTGGGGGTCTGGTGCCTATCTCCAGCAGTCAACGGGCAAGTAGGCGGGGTACACCCTGGACAGAGAGCCAGCCCATCACAGGGCAGCACAGAGACACACAGGACAAACAACCATGCACACACACACACACACACACACACACACACACCTAAGGACAATTTAGACAGACCTATTAACCTAACAGTCATGTTTTTGGATTGTGGGAGGAAGCCGGAGTACCCGGAGAGAATCCACGCATGCACAGGGAGAACATGCAAACTCCATGCAGAAAGGTCCCAGACCGGGAATCGAACCCAGGACCTTCTTGCTATAAGGCAACAGCTCTAACCACAGCGTCACTGCGCAGCCCCTGTAGAGAACTCAGAGAACTGAACTAAGATGGCGTGGGAACTGGTTTTATTAATCTAGATGTTTTGATTTTTGGTCGAATCAAAGTTGGCAGATGTATAAACATCACAGAGACTATGCCACGCTTCAGAAAGGATGGTTCTGATTGGATCAGTAACAGCAATGTGTCATGCTCTTACATTATTGTGTAGTCAGCATGTCTAGTGCAGCTAAATTAAAGTCATATTACTTATTAAAGCATATTAATCATAACATTATTATTTCACAGATCGGTCAACATTATATTATTGACTAACACTTTGTTTGATTAGCTTTATTAAAAATAGAGTTCTTTGATTTATTAAAAGGAAAGAGTCCTTTATCTTCAATCTTCTCT